CCCCCACTGCACCCCCTGCACCCCCACGGACCTCCAGTGCACCCTCTGCAACCCCTCTGCACTCCTTGCACCTCTCACTGCACCCCTCACTACATCTCCACTGCACCCCCTCTGCACTCCTTGCACCCCTCACTCCACCTCTCCCCGAACCCTCACTGCACCCCCTCAGCAGTCCCTCTGCACCCCCTGCACCCCTCCCCACACCTCTCACTGCACCCTACTGCACACTCATCTAATCCTCCAGAATCACGGTACCGCACACCACTTGTCTCCCACCTGCACCTCTGGTGCCATCCCATGCACCCCTGACCTGCAACCCCCAGAACACCCTCCAAAGGCCCTGCTGCAAAACCACTCTCCCCTGCAGCCAGGCCCCCACTGCAGGCCATCCCAGAGCACCTCCCACTGCCCTTCACCTCCTGGCAGGGACCTGCCCCCACTTTGTGTGGGGGGACAGCCCGTCCCACTGCCCCAGCACCCTGGGGCTGAGGGAATGGCACTTGGTGTCCCAGGGCTGGAGGAAGCAGGCTGTAACCTCAAGTGGGGAGCATCGCAGAAAGGCAGGGAGCAAGCCAGGGTTTTCAGTGGGGTGGTGGGGATGAGAGCAGGGTGATAGGGAGCTCAATGGGATGGTGGCAAGCACAGCAGGGTAATCAGTGGAATGATGGGGAACACAGCAAGGTAAGGGGAGAGCATGGGCAACCACAGTCCAAAGGTGTCCTCCCATTGCAACCTCACTGATGCAAGTGGCAGAGTTCAGGAAGGGAGATGCCACCTGTCTGCTATCTTTGCCCACCCTGACGGGTCCCAAGGAGAGAAATCCCGGGCAGAGCTATTTGCAGGAAGCCGTGAGGCGTGGGGCTGGAGCTGTTGGCCAGCAGCCAGCCGCTTTCTCCTCCTGCTTGGGAGCACAGAGGATGTTTTGTGTGCAGCAGTGGGATCACCATCCCCACCAGGGCTGGCCCCACTCCCGGCAGCCCCCACAGGCCCAGGCTCCCTGCCCACCGCATCACAAGGCCAAGGTGCCTCCACAGCACGCTGTTCTCTCTGACTCAGGGTGCACAGCTGGTGTGGGATGAGGGACAATGCCACAAGATGTAACGCGTTTTCCCAGCGCTGCTCACCCATGCTTCTCCCCTGCCAGATGTCGTCTGGACTGTGATGTTGTTGCTCACTGATGCTGTGGCACCTGCTGGCCCCCAGCCACCTTGCTAGTAGACCATGCCCCTGACCCCTCTCCACGGCTTGGCCACAGGTGGGGTGCTCCAGCTTGCTGGCGTGTGCATCTGGAGGATGTAGGGTGTCCTGGCAAGCCCCTGGAAGATGGTGTGTCTAGTGGGGCAGGCATCTGAGGCAGCAGTGGGCCAGGGTATGTAGCGGGAGTTCATGTACATCTTGTTGAGGAGCTACAGGGACATGTACTGAAATCTCACCCTGAAGGTCATGCACGGTATCAGAGCAGTGGATACACCCTGATACATCCTCAAGATGGATGACAGCTGCTTCAACATGGACTGCTTGCCCAGCCTCCTGGCATGGACCAGCCCCTACATGGTGTCCCTACTCTTCTGGCAGAAGTGGCAAGCCACCTATCAGCCCTCCATCAAATGGCACTGCAGAACTACTGTCCTGACATCTACCTGCCCTACATCAGCAGAATTGACTACTTTCTCTCCCTGGATGGGGCAAAGAGATTCTGGAGGCAGCAAACCGCCCCATCCCCTTGCAGTACGTGCACAAACTGCTGAAGGTGGTGGGTGCTGGGGCAAGAGACAGCGGCCCTCTTGCCAAACACCACATGCCATGGCACGTCTGCAACTACTGTTACCTGATGGTGACCCACGTACTAAAGCAGGAGGATCCCTCCTGGAGCAGGAGGGCCTCACTGCTGCATGTGGGAAGCCCGCAGCACTGTCTGGAAGTGACCTGCCAAGGACCCAGAGGACAAGGGCCTATGGCTGATGCACAGACTGCCCCTGCAGCCCCAGTGCCGCCCAGCATCGCCCACCCCAGCCTCTTCCCTTGGAGAGGGATGCACCCTGGCAATCCGGGCTTCCTGCCCTCCAGTCCTGGAGGCCCCACTCTGCTTCACAGCCCAGCAGCATGTTCCCCAGGCAGGGGTCCTGCCTGCGCCAGGTGCTGCTGGAAGGGGCAGACAAAGCACATCTGCACCACAGTGTTTGGCCTGGGAGTTTCTGAGGCTGTAAATAGCCAAGTTCCCCTCCTCCTCATCTTGAAAGTGAGAAGGGGAACATCCCCCAGAGAGGGGGAAAGAATTGGTCAATTGTCATCACTGGTAGAAAAGCTATTTTTAATTTTATTAAAATGTCTCTCTTCTATAAACTTTCAAAATATCTGGAACCTCTGCTATACAGATTTGTGCTGTGGCTGCGTAGCAAAGCTGTTGCTCCTGGGGTAGGTGATGGTGGCACTTATGGTGGGGTGCAACTGGTGGCACGGGACAGCTGAGGCTCCTCTTTGCAATCTGGAGAGGTGTGGGGAGTGCCAGGGGAGCAGGGCATTCCAGGGCCACCCTCAAAAAGGGGCACATGGGAGATGTAGTGGCTAAGGGGGCCAGAATGGGTCTGTGGCCGGAGCAGGAGCTGGTGCAGGGTCTCTCCCACCTGCACGAGGCTGTGGGAGAGGAGCTGGAGGTGGGAGACTGTGTCGCTGGCCAGGCTCTCCAGCAGTGCCTGCTGCTGCCGTGATGTCTGCAGGATCTGCACCAGCAGTTGCTGGACGTTCTGGAGCAAGCTCGCCACACCAGGCCCTGCAGTGAGAGAGGAGTCAGTGGCAGCAAACCCTCACCATGGCTCTGAGAGCTCCCTGTGAGGCTTTTGGGATGCTGCAGGGAGGACCCACCATGAAGGCTTGCATCTGATGCATCTTCACCTGCTGCCGGCTGCTCGCTCAGGGCAGCTGTCCCTTGGGAGCCTGAGGCTGCGACAGCCACTGGCAGCATTTGGTTTCCTCTTCCCATCCCCAGGGACGTCTCACCAGGAAAATGTGCCACGATAGCTTGGCATGGAGGAAACAACCAGAGTGATGGAGGCACCCAAAGCCATGCTCAGCTTCACCCCACACAGAGACCTGGGGAGGCACTGCCTCTGGGAGCCCAGGCCCTGCATTCCTGCTGGCAGGGCAGGACAGAGCTGTCCCCTGGACCAGGAGAACTTGCTCAAAACTGCATACACTTACCAGCCTTTCCCTCTGTTCCTTCCTGCTTCAGGTCAGTGTGACAGCCTGGAATGAGAGCAGATACAGCCTGTGAGCTGCAGCCACCTCCTGCCCCAGGGCGCACAAACAGAGTAGCCAGGATATGATGCTCACCCAGGATGGAGACAGGAGGGAAGCAGCAACTGGTGTCTGCAACGAGAACTGTATCAGACCCTGCTCGTGGGGCAGAGGGGATTTACTGGGCTTTACTGGGCTGAGCAGGGCAAGGAAAGCCTTACATGGCATGGTGGGGGGTGTGGGTGGCACTCCAGCGATGTGTTCCCCACCAGCTGCTGGGAGAAAGCAGAGAGGAGAGATACACCGTCTGACAGGACTTGGCAGGGGATCACCACCATCCCAGGGTCTGCCTGGCTTGCCTCGGCCAGCCCCACAGCCCAACATGCCCTAGCCACAGCTCCACAGTGCCCTGCAGGGCCCCAAAGCATTTCAGAGCTAGGTACAAAAGCAGGAGTCACTCACCCACCACTGCAATGCAGCCACCCCTGGGCTGGAAGGCAGCAGCGGCGGAGCAGCGCGCAGGAACGCTACACAACAGACTAGGACTGGAAGTGAAGGAGAATCCCACATCCACTTGAAACTGCAGGGGGAATTTAGGGAGACAGAAGGCGGTTACCCAGTGTGGGATGCTGGCCGGGGCACCCACGCAAATCAGACTCAGGGATGTATCCTGCACCACCTCAGTGCCAAACTCCCTGGAGGGGTGCAAGATACGCCCCTGGGTGGGCTGCGGGGCATGGGAGCTGAAAGCACCTCTGGCCCTCACACACAGTCCTAACTCATCCAAAGACCTATGCTGTTACTGGGGAAGGGGGGAGCCAGGACCTGACAAAGGAAGGGGAGTCACATGCCCTGCAGTGCCACACAGCCACAGGAGACCTCTGGGCTGTATTGGGGCCACTGGCCCTTACAGACTTTGTGCCCCACAATCTGCCATGGGGTGGCCAGCAGGCTTGCCATGCCCTCAGGCTGGGTCAGAGATGGAGACCCCTTCCTGCCCTGTCCCAGCCATCCCTTCATGCTCTGGGGCTGGTTCGACCTCTAGCTGAAGCCTCTGGAGGGGGAAATCCCAACGCTCCCATCACTGAGCATCCCTGATAAGGGACACGTGATGGATCCTCTGATCCCCTAAGCCCCCCATTCCCATTATGCTGGCCTGGGCTTGGGCTGGAGCTGTGGCCGTGCAGCTTGGTGCAGCAGGGCAGGTTGGTACTTACGGCTCTCTGGCTCATCCTTTGCACACCGCAGCAGCGGGGACAGCAGCGTGCCTGGGGTGTCCCTGCTAACATCGTGCCCTGCAGAAGGAAGTGAGGGGGGTGCAGAAAAGAGCTTCAATAACTGGGTGATGAGGGGTGTCTGCCACCCCACAGACAGGACAAGCCCCACTCTGGCTGTCTGAGCCCACAGGTACCTGGTGGCTCTGGCGAGGATGAAGACCGAGTGGCAAGGGCTGACCTGCGCTTCCTGGTGGGCAGTTTCACCAGTTCTAGAGGACGAGAAAGACCATCAACATACCCTGGCTGTCCGTGCAGCATCAGTCCCCAAGCAACCCACATCTAGCCACCCTGCTAAGCCCATATGCCCGTCCCTGGCACCCACCTGGCATCCTCCGCTCGCCAAAGACGGGCCGCCCGGCTGCCTTCCATATACTTTTCATGGCCCGGTAGTGCGGAGGAAGCCGGGGCGAGTGGTGTCCTGCCCTCCGGCGCGTCTCCCGCTCCGAGTGGAAAGCCTGCTTGAGCGCCTTCCACTTGGAGCGGCACTGGGCCACGCTGCGCCCGTAGCCGGCCGCCGCCAACCCCCGGGAGATCTCCC